TATTATTTATAAATTGCCAAAAAACTCTAGACAAGAATTAGAAATGCAAGGTTTTGTATCTGGGATTCCCATTAAGTCAATTAATTCGTCAAAAAATATTAAACGAGATGCCTCTCATACATACAGAATGTTGTTCAACAGTTTGAACACATCCTATAGGAGAATTTCTTGTTATTGGTTTGCTGTATGTTGTTACTGTGTTGTTTTTTACTTTACGTAAGTTCATTACAGTTTAAACTGGTATGACGTTGAGGAATTGTTGTACTAATTATACATTTGAAATAATACCAACCATCCTGCTTTTGTTGTAGTAAGAAATTCTTGTTTGTGATGTGTGTCCAAAGCCTACTTGCCGAAATTTGAATTCTACGTAAGACAGTAGTTTAGAGATGTTTTCATGGAAATTCAGAATTTTCGTTAGGAGAAAAGTTATACAGGTTTTTCGAAAATGCCTACTTTCCAAAGACATCCCGTATATCAAACACGGTAGTAGATAACGAAATAAGGTTTGCACCGATAAACTTTTCAAAAAAATTCAACCTCAGGAACCGATTTCAATTTCCGTTCATCTCCTCTATAAAGTAGAATTTTCTTTTAAACGTGTTCATACTGTACATATCAGTGAATGGACCGTTAGAATTTTTCCTGTCCTGGATGACTACAGGTCCTCCATTGCAACGCCAGCTCGAATGGTAAGATATGCTTTTGCCCAAAATCATATGGTCTGGAATGGTGGATTGGAGAAGGGTGGGTACTCCTCTCAGATAAGTTGCCTTATTGTCTCACTGGATCAGACAGATGTCTGCGAGTAGGAAGAAGATCCGAAAAAGGATATGCTCCAATTAAGATAAATACAAGGTCTGTTCAGAAAGGACCGCGAATTTTGTGTTTTTTCAAAAATTATTTATTATTCATATATATATATATATCCATTCCAAGAAGCAGTTCAAAAAATAATTTCTTGTGATCTTGTTCAGCTCCTCCTTCGATACCGTCTTTATCCTCAATCGTAACGTAGCGTCATCTTTTTATGGGACTTTTCAGTTTCGGGAACAAGAAAAAGTCACAGGGGGTCATATCCACGAAATACGGTGGCTGCGACATTATTAGTGTATTGTTTTTAGCCAAAAATTCGCGCAAAGGCAACGATGTGAGAGCAGGGGCGTTATCATGGTGCAAAAGCCAATTTTTGTTCTTCCACAAATCCGGGCTTTTCTGGGGGATTGCATCACGCAAATTGCGCATACCTTGCAGGTGATATTCCTTATTGACTGTTCTACTCTGTGTCAGGAACTCGTGATGCACCACGCCCCTGCAATCGAAGAAAATTGTAAGCAAAACCTTCACATTCGACCTAACCTGGCGCGCTTTTTTCGGTCTTGGCTCGTGTGGCAGCTTTCATTGGGATGATTGAGTTGTGGTTTCCAGGTACGACCATAAACTCATGATTCGTCATTAGTTATGACCCTCTGGAGCAAATTTAGATCGTCGCGGACAGTGTCCAACAGCTCCTTAGCAATATTAATGCGATGCTGTTTTTAGTCGAAATTGAGCAATTTGCAATGCCCAAATGGATAAAAATAAAAAAAGGTAGCTTCGCCATATGCCACAGTCAACATTCGGAAAGCGTTTGTGAACTTTATTTTATTTTTCATACAAAATCTGATAAAAAATCGAAGACGAGCCAAAACACATGTAAGCAAAGCAACTGTTAAAAATAAACTGAATATTCACTATGGCCGAACTTGTCGATATAAGTGAGAAACATAGGTACCAACATAATGCCACAAAAAAATTGAAAATCGAATATATGTAACCCGCGGAAATAACTTCCATATGGCGGTGAGTCGGTTATGATTTGAACCGAGCGGCATGGCCTAGAGGTCTAGACCATTGCTTAGCATTCGGGAGGACGCCGGTTCGATTCCGGGTCCGTCTGCCTTGGTCCAAGTTTTTCTGTGGTTTCCTTGGATCACTTAGGCAAATGCTGAGGCAGTAATATTCCACAGATAATCTTTCATTCTCTTCTGTCTTCATTTCATCCGTCTCATCTTTCTCACCCAAACCACCACCCACCCATTCCCACGATTCCTGAAAGCAGGCTGAAGAGAGCCTTCCGCCCTACCTTCCGGCATAGTCCGGAGAGACTGCCCGCCCACCAGCATTACTAGCTGGTGGGAATGAAACAACCAAAAGTTTGTTTTTTTGTGATTTGAGCGGGAATCACCCAAGCAAGTACCAAGTTAATCATTATACATATAGAGAACGGTATTGACAGTCCTTAGGTACATTACGGAGATTTTGTTATGTTTTTTACGATCCTAATGGGCGACCACGACATTTTCATGCAATATAAATATGTTTTCTAATTTATAGGATCATTATAATATTTAAAATTAAATTAGAAAACATATTTATATTGCATGAAGACGTAGTGAAATAATTTACGAATTGTAAATATAAGTGCAAAACAGAAAATTCAGAAACACATGAAATAGAAATAGGTACATGACAGTTATAATAACATCGGCTATAATAACAACTCATGTAACGTCAGTTTTTAATAGCACCGAAAATATAAATAACGTCATATTTTTAATGCTGCAAATCATTGAAATGCTCGTATTATTATTTAAGGAAACTCAATCGGTAAAATGAAAATTGCTCTCGTTGGCATTTGCAATTAGGGTATGGACTACATGGTGAAGAATGTGTTTTCGAATTTGTGCACTTTGTCTTGTATCGTGTAACGAGCCGTAAATAATAGTAATAATGTAATAATAAATAATGTATAAACTAAATAGTATTTTATGTAAAGATAAAAATATATATTAGTTAAAATACTGACAGCCCGGTACGTTCAAATGCAACTTGAAACCCCAGCAGTTTACGTTAGGTTGGGTTCGGTTCAACTAACTCTAGTCCAGACATTATGGGCGGGTGAGTGGAAAAAATTATTCGGATTAAATTTTTTATGCAGTTTTGTTTGTAAGATTCTCCTGAATACAACGATATAAGCTGTCAGTCGGTTAATTCACGATTACTTAAATAAATGCCAAAAAACAATTTTTATTAGCCGGAACATTTTTTTTTTCTTTGGTATAATCTCGATAAAAAAGGACTGATGTTTTCTTTTTGTATAGTTAGTATTTTAAGAGTTGGGAATTTTTGAAAATCTGAATATACATTGAAATACTTGCATTTAAAATGTAAATACAAAATAAAACATACCTATTTTTTTCTTGCATTTAAATACTTTCTTGAGAAAAGCATTTTGTATTTTATTTAAAATACTTTTCCAAACGAATTTTTATTTGTAAATTGCTGTTAATACCACCGACCAAACATTATACAATATAAAATGATGAATGAAAGTTGCTCACATGGGCTATTGAAGGTAGAAGCTTAAAAAGGGGACAAACCTTTAATTCTTTAATTAAAGGGAGCCCAAAAAATTCTAAACTTCTTGGAAATGGATAATCTAAAATATTGGATCGATATTGTTTTCCGAGTTCAATGTCATGGTTAATGGAATTTTGAAGTTCCAAATTGATATCAGCACCTTCCAAATCACCACTTATCGTACTTTTAGCAAGGAACTACGAAATTATATAAATTACGACAGAACAGCCCGTAAACCAATATCGAATTGACATACAACTGTGTAAAACTGAAAACTACAAGATATTGTGGTGCGCTAATAAATGCTTATAATCCAAAATTCACTTATTAGATGAACCCAACGGTAAAGAAACTATGAATTCCATTTCTTTCTCTTATTACAATGTGTAAAACATCGGAAACAAGATGGGGTTGTAAATGTTTTTATATAAATTTATTGATCTTTATTTTACATCAATAAAATTTTGTGCAACCCTTTATTGACTCTGATCTTTGACGCTAAACAAACTATTTTGTAATCAGTGTCTTTTTTCCAATTAAAACGAAGCTCCGACAGAACACAGCCCAACTTTTACCTGCTGTCTGCGACGCGCTGATGAGATCCAAAAAGATCGAAATCGCGATCCGCGTCTGGCAGTTTCCACAGAATACAGACCACATGGAATTATTTTATTCGATTATAGTAACGTGGCTATCACCTTAAGGTTAGCTACGCCGGGATTCGTTTCAGCAAGTAAATATCCATATATTTAAATGGACCTTGTTGAAGCACACGTAATCCTAAAATGTAGCATCGTACTACAGATGGCGTTTACCGCGCCATTTGTGATATTTTCTCAACGCTAGTTATTAGTGGTTATACGCTATATGTACGGAGTATTTTTTGTAGATTGACATTGTTTAATTTTATATGGTTTCTAAACTGTGCTTGTTAGTATTGCATAATTTCAGAAAACAAAATACAAAATAAAAAACGGATAAATGATTTATCTGTTTTCTATCCGACTAAAGGCTAATGCGAATGACACGGCAACATGCCAAACAGATCAGGGTANAAGTTAAAAAATAATATTGCTGATAACTTTCAAAAAATTATTAAAAATAAAAACAATTGTTACGTAGTATAAATAGGTACCATAAAAAAAATGAAAAATATTAATTTATTTTTACGGATTTTCTGTTTTTTTTTTCGGCTGAACAACAACCTTCAAGATTATTTTATTATTCCTATGGATGTTATTCGAATAATTTTTCATTTGCTTTTATATGATCTGAGAAAGTGGTCTTTAGGGTGGTTTTGTTTTAGAACCCCTGCAGGTCGACTATTATTTTTTCACAATGGCTACTAAGTTTACACGTTAAAATGATCTTTTTTGCTAGTTTTCCTAATAACGATTTAAAATCTCCCTTTGTTAGACTAACACATATAAATTACATTGGTAAATAAAATAATATTCGAAACAGTTTTTTAATAAAATTTGCACGTGATTTATACTATAGTCTAGCATTCATGTTTTTTATGATTATTATCATCAATTTCTTGAAAATCGCTGATAGTTTCAAAAATATACTAAAACTCATAAGATACTATTACTTACCAAATCCAAAACTAACCCTTATTACATCTTGTTCTTCGTCAAATTCCCTGTTAAATCTCACGGCAAAATAAAATTCTTCTCCTCTTCTAAGTACCGGTGTTGGAATTTCTATATTCTTTACCAATTCGTATTCTTCGGTGCGATTGTTTTTAGAATTATCAATAGGATAGAACTCTACCAGATCTACATTTAAGGGTTCCATCACTTTTTCCTGTTAATCGTATCGATGCACTTATATCGAGCAGCGGCTATGACTTTTTCGAAATTTCTGCATCAACTAACGAAAAGCGAGAGCATTTATTATTATCCGTTAGTAATACCACGCCAACCAAGCGCACACAACTGTTGGCACATGGTCTTCATTTTTTAAAAACAACAATTAATTCTAGGAAATGCGAAATGTAGCAAATTGATTGATATACTCCGCATGAGAGTTTTGATATTTAAATGCGTTAAAGTGAGTCATTTACGACAACTTTTTAAAAAAACGAGACATTTTGATCTTATCCATTAAATATGGTTACATGTATTATTTGTTTTGTTATTGCAATCAACATAGTGATGTAAGTCATCAAATGAAAATTAAAATTTGTATGCAACAATTTATTTTTTAGAAATATTGGGTGAATAACCTTACGTTTATGTGTATGCAAGTAACAGCAAAGTTAGATCTTTAGTTTAAAATAGAAACGAATTTGGTTAATAAGTTACGTTAGGTTAAAGAGTGTATATTTTACCGGAAATGTATGAAATCTAGGAATTGTATACAATTCCTAGGAAAAGTATACAATTCAAAGATTATTTAGGAAATCTATAAAATACTGTTTCAAAGATATTTCCTAGGAATTGTATTATATTCCGGTATTGTACTAGTAAATTTATAAAACTAATGTTTTCTGTGAATAAAATACGTTAGTAAACCAAGAATCATATCCAATCTCCTGATTGGATGACGCAATACCCTCCCCTCGTTCCGCTATCCCCGCGTACCTATTGACATCTTAAGTGTAATACGTTTTCGATTGCTATTTACGAAATGTATAGATTTCCTAGGAAATGTGTCTAATATAATTTATTTCACACGTTTCCGGGCGATTTTAGGAATTATATACATTTCCTAGGAATTATATACAATTACAATGACGGATTACACACATTTCCGTTAACATATACATATTTATATGTTAAATTACAGTAACAACGTTGTAGGTATGTAGTTGGTATTCCTATTTTATAAAGATATACAGGGTGATTTTCGTCTTCCCGACAGTCAGGGAGTGTGCTTTAGAAGCCATTTTAAACAAAGTTCATATTATAATGGGTCCGATTCTCAAAAATAAACGAGTTATGACAAATTATAAATTTTACGTTCATGATGTTTTCGAGCTCAATTTACCAGAGATGGTATAAATAATTCGCACAATTCGTACTTTTGCTTTGATATAAATCCAAATGGTACCGTTGAAAGCAACCTTCAGCACCGTATTATTGTCAGTGGGTGGTGCCGAATAATCAACAACCATTTGATTGGACCATTTATTTATGACAATCGCGTTTATTTTGAAGTCTACCTACATTTCTTAGAGGAAGAACTGCCGCATCTTATGGAAGACGTACGCTTCCAACAGAATTGTGCACTTCCACATTCTTCCCGATTAGTACAAAAAAACTATCCATCTTAATGATCACCACTACTCTGGGCACGACGATGCAAAAGTGCGCAACTAAATGCATAGAGGCTACATCTTAAAAATTGAAAGTTATGAATTTTGAAAAAAAAAAACATATTTTTATTTTCATTAAAACTGCGGCAGTAACTACTGCTGTACAGTCTAAGCACTTTACTGACTACTCTACATAATGTATATGTATATATATTTATATAATAAGTTGTATGTGATTATAAAAATAGTGCTGTATAGAACATGCTGTGATTAGACCATACAATAGCAGATATTGAAATTTTGGAAAATTGGTTTTTGAAGTACTGAATGTATAATGTATAACTACATATGTATATGATAAACACCTAAGTGAGGCTGTAATGGCGTGGATGGTGTAGCAGGCACACTTGCAGCTTTCCTACTTATACTAGATGTGCGCTGAACTTTAGGTTCCTTACGTTCCAATGGATTAGCGTCCTCTAAAATTTCTCGTTCAGTTCTACCAGTGTATTTGAACTTCGTCCCCCACGAAAAAAAGCCGCCACCTATTACAACTGGTGGAGCATCTGAACTGCATGGCAGCCTAAGAATTATATTATGTAACAAAAATATACAAGATGTTACCACTACTTACGTGAAAAACAGCATTTGCTCTATTGCACATCTCCAAACATATTTACAAGATGCCCCAGTGGCACATTTGAAACCGATTGTATGTTTTTTCTAAAAGATAATTCAATTAGTTAACTTTTCATTGGTACTATTAACAATTTACTTCATTATAATTAAGGTGAATTATGAACATTTTTCCTTCATAATTAATTTTTTGAATGTCAGGCCAACGAAAGTGATGGGTCTTTCTACTTCCTTGAAATGTTAAAATACCACTGTAATTAATACCCAAGTACAGTTGAGTACCTTTGTGATCCTAAAACACCTTTAATATAATAATTTTCAAATATGTATACACATTTCTTCTTAATACCTTTGCTGGATGTGGATCAACACCATATGTATCTAACTGTGACGCAATTTTGAGAAATTTATTTTCAACTTGAGAGGGACTTTGTCCTTTTAAATCTCTTTTATGGATTTCCATTATTTTTTCTTCATTTTGTTCAGTTTGCTTTAACAAAATTCGAAAACTTGAGACATAGTTACCTACATGAACTTCAGGATCATAGTCGCCTAACTCACCTGTAATTAACTCATTAAATTAAACGTGACTATTTAATAATTAATGTAAAAAACAAACCTTGAATTATTAAAGCAGCTAGCATAATCGATTCATTAGGAGAACATAATCTACCATGTAACAAATCACGTTTTAGCTGCATGAAGATTTGATAACGTGTTATTTCTTCTTTTAATTTGAATGGATCAGGGGGGTAAAATTTGACTCTAAAGCTAAACAAAACTTCCTGCATGTCCTTAACTTGTTTAGTAATCGATTTACCCAAGTCCAGCCAATGCTATAAATGTATGCATTTGTTACACTTATTTTTTATGTTACTAATATTACTGACTCTTTGCTGTGNCAACTACTTTGAATTTATCCTAAACTATAGACCTAATAAAATAAAATATTCAGAAAAACTACTTAAGAAATATCTACAGTGATATACAAAATAACACAACACCAAACACTAACCAAAATAGAAAGTTGTTTATTTTCTAAGACTATGCTTTGTATGAAACTCACTTAGTATGAAATATTTGTCATTTCCCTTCGATGTCATTATAAGCGAATTCTACTGTACCATGCTAGACGCCGGTTAGTTACTTTATTATTAAAGAAAGGCTTCACCTTTTTTAATTGGAATACCTTTTTTGAAGGGCATACCTATTCTACATATCGTTTCATTTTTCAATTACCTTTTTTTTTTACCACTCACCTCATATCAGGTTGTTGGGGTTCATGTTGAGTGATTCAAGATTGATAGCTTATGGTGATTTTTATGAAAAGCCCGAGGTTCATTCAACACCCTTCACCTTCTTTAATACATTATCTGTGATCATTTTGTTACGTAAACACCTAGCAAATTACTTAACACATACATTTTTTTTTTAATAACACTACAGACCGAGTCAAAACTCCGGTGTACAGTATTTATCTATTCCTTATACCAACTTAATTTTGCCACTTAATAAAACATTCGACCTTTTTTTAATTGTTACAAGTAACTTATAATCTTTATTTATATGTTATGAACAATNATATACATGTACTTTAAATCATACAGTCTAATCATACAAATAAAATAATTTAAGAAATTAATGTATTACCTTTACTTAATTATCAGTTATCCCATAAACGCAAAACGCTATTGGAATTAAATTAAAAGCAACCACTACACTGCCGGAGTGTTATAGTACAATAACTCTAACAAATACGCACATAGTACAAAGTACAACAACATATCACATACTCAAAATGCGTGAAGGAAATAAGAGTTAACTGCTGAAAAAACTAACATTTAATCCGCGATCTCTTTGTGTGATTCATAAAACAACTGCTACATATTCATTTCTTCACGCGCTTTTTATGTTAGGTACCTGTAGGCGGTCATACCATTCAATTGTTATGAGCAACCAAACCGCAAAGAAATGTAATACAATCCAGGATGTAACCACTTATGACTTTGGTGATCCTTCTGTTAATTTAAGAATCAATTGAGATACCTGCTTTTAATTTATTTTTAACTCTCAAAAAAAAAAAAAACGAAAACCATTCGCATTGATCATGACGCACAGGAGACTATTATGACATCATCACTTCCATAAACTTTGTTTCATCACGACCTTTTTTTTTTTTGAAGAGTGGACACGTAATATTGAAACAAAATTGACGTACAGTAGTAAAATAGTAATTCTGAACTACTCATTCGAACAAAGTATGTCCGCAGTACTTGTGTATGCTGTATACCACTTTAACATTTCTATTTCCAATGTGTAGGACTAAATGTAATGCTAAACTTTATTATTTATTTTCAATGCTTTTAATACCTTTTTTAAAACTGCTCGGCGTAGATGAGTAATAAATAATTAAACACCCACTGCAGTAAAATTAATTTTAAGCATGCTTACGTTTACAGTGGAATTCGTTTATTATGACTCCGCCTATATTGACCAACCGCTTAATATGAAGTCATTGCAGTGTTAAGTTTGGTTTTCATATTAAATTCTCTATAGAAAAGTTTGGATATGAAGATTCCATTTAAAATGACATATCGTTTATTATGACTGATTCTCAAGAAATCATATCCGGCTATAGTGACCCAAATGATTAATAATAACATTTTCGCTCATTTTTCTGACCCTTCTTATGTATATTGATATTACAATTCGTCGTTCTTTTTCTTTTTCTGTTAATAAATATATACA